TCTCTCTCTCTCTATATATATATATATATCGTATTTCGATGTATGACCCTCCACATGTTTTGAATTCAGTGTTGTCCTTCTCTTAGACCAGTTGCCATCCAAGGCTATAGAACCCAGTCTGTCCTGCAATTTACCCATAACTAGGGGGAGTAGAAGAGGATTCATATATTTCCCAAGTGTATTAGCATGTAAGTGAATGCAATGGATTCGATTGAAATATATATATATATATATATATATATATATATATATATATATATATATATATATATATATATAAAAATATGGTCTTCAGGTTTACAGATATGGGTGTTCAAGTTATGTTTTAAATTACCTTCAGATATGCGTCGCTCCACAGTAGGCGCCCCATTTATTTATTCTTACATACAAAGAAAATCCCCTGCTTACATTCAAATCTGACGTATCCACCCACACCCAGGAAGAGAAAAAAAAGTAAAAGCCATACGATTATTTATTTTAAGTTTTTTTACAATCATAGGCAAGTCGACAGGTTGTTGTAAGTTACTGAGACTGGTTTAGTTGAACACAATTTTAAATAGGAAGACTGTATTACGCCATTCACGGGGGAGGGGGGAAGCTACTTGCTTAAAAATGATTAGCATTTGAACTCGTGCCTGATTTTAAAAAAATCTGTGTTCGAGCACAGACATTAGTTGGGAAATACCAGAACAGCCACTAATATCCACTATTTTTCTGCACACAAGTACTTTATATTTGCAGAAAACACTGACACAAATTACTGTCTGATGGGAAATGTCTTTTCTTCTATTTGACTATCTATTTTTTAATTGTATACCATACACATGTACGTTTGCATATATATATATATATATATATATATATATATATATATATATATATATATATGTATGTATGTTTTTGTGTGTGTGCTTATTTATTAATATCTTGCATTTTGATGGGGGGGTGCGTGTTTTCTTTGATCGGATATTTTTACTCCATATCCCATATCTACATCCATATATCTGCATCCGGGTCATTGCGTCTTTCTTTCTGCTTCACTTGCCGCCATTTTTATTTCTTTTCTGACGGAAAAAAAATAGATTCCATTTTTTTTTACTTTACCAATTGCTCTCTGCTGTTGTTTTTGTTGTCATTATTATTATTATTATTGTTATTATTATCCACATCATCATCATCATCATCATCATCATCAATATTGTTCGCGTGGTTTTGCATTATGGGTGTTTTCCATTAAGTCGTATGACCTCAGAAAGAGAAAGATAGAAAAGGGAGAGAGAAAAAGAGAGAAAGAAAGAGAGAGAGAGAGAGAGAGAGAGAGAGAGAGAGAGAGAGCTCATTTCTTGGAATAGTTATAGTACCAAAGAAAAACAAACTGGCATCTGAAGAGATAGGATTCTTTGAAATGGCCCACATTCAAACCCAAATTCAAATTTTCATGAATATCTTCAATTACAGCTGAAATAAGAGTAGGAAACGCTGGCCGTAGGGAAACTGGAGAGGTACAATTTATAGGGTTTGATTACCAAACAAGAAGTGCGTATTATACGTGAGTAGAAACATTTTCCTACCCTGTCAGCACAATTTTCGTGGTGTGTATTATAGATGAAGGCGTCTTATACATGGGGAATTATGGTACTTATCATTGATGAAATTCCTTCAAAGTGACATAACCATTATTTTTTTTCAGTTTTATATATACAAAGAAGGAAAAGGGACATTTAATCTTGGGCCCACGTTGTAACCTAATGTGCTACGAAGTGCCATGACAATAGCCGTGTAGATGAAAATGGAGGCCGGCCAGAATTTCATGTCTTTAGAATTTGCTGTTAATCAAAGTTTATTTTCTCAAATCCATGCGTGTATTCTTTTTGTAGAACTCCCAAAAATCTAGATGATCAGGATCCAGTAGCTGATCTTTCCTCTGATCTAACAGCTCATTTGAAGGTGTTTGGGGGGGGGTTAGTTTGTATCATTCTTTACCCCCACCACAAACCAAGCTAGTCACCTTCCAGCAGAATTGCTGCCATATTTCGACTGCTGCTGTCTGTTCCTCTCTTTCCAACCATGACAGAATTCAAAAGCTTGTATGCAGCCATGTAGGATATGATTTACCCTTTTTTCCGGCATACAAGACGCACTTTTTCCCTAAACATTCCCTGAAATATACGTGTGCGTCTTTCAAGACGAATGTAAGCCAACGCCCAGACTCACGTACGCTTGGACGGTCACCGAATTGACTTGAATGAAGGGACGTGGATTTTTATGTTGAGTCATTGCACTATAACGTTAGCTATCTATCTAATTCAGCCTTTTATATGATGTAACCTCAGTATTTAGCTGTTACAAGTATTTTCACGACTATAAACCTTCCTGGAGCCAAGCCACAACCTTAAACATGCTCTGTTTACTAGCAGCGGCTGAAGCCTTTCTGCTCTTGACTAGTATGTCATTGCCATACAAACAAAATTGCATGAGTAATTAATGTAAACAATACTGGCACTAGTATGTGACGGACACATGGTGAATGTGTTGTTGTATGCGAATCACTTGTTTTTTCTTAGATATTTCATTCCAATATTAGGGTGTGTCTTCCAAGCTGCAGCGTCTTGTAAACCGGAAAATACGGCAGACGTAAGGCTGTAAGCATTCCCTTGGTAAATGTTCAGAAGAGCTACAGCCTTTAGTTCCAGCAGTTCATGAATTTACAGCTAGGATCCACTATGTACATAGGGTTGAATCATTTTAATTCCCTTCGTATTCCGGTGGTTAAAAACAAGTTCCAATTAGCTCCTTCCTGAGAAACTACGAAGAGAATTATTCCTCGATCCTTACAATCTTAATTTCTTCAAGTCTAGGGTCAACCGTTGTATATCCTACATATCCTTCTAAATTGCACTAACGTCCTCCTCTTGCGTCTATGCAACAACCTCATTCATACCTGGAGTGGGTCTTGAATCTTTTATTGGTGAAAATTTAGACAAGAATATGAAAGAAAACGCCAGCAACTCTTTGTTCCGGACTGTCTGAATTTTAAAATCAGATCTCTATATCGGCTGGTATTGAGGAATCGGAGAGCCGAGTTCGAATTCCAGTCGAACCCATTACATTCGCTTACGTGCAAATATCCCTTGGGAGAGGTATGAATCCTCTTCTTCTTCCCCCAGCTAAGGTAAATAGCAGGACAGCCCAGGTTCTATAGCCTTGGGTGGCAACTGGTCTACCACAGAAAGAAATGTCAACCTACAGCGGGAAAATCTGCCTCGTCAGTCATGTATCGAATTATTCATGATCGTCTAAGCGTATTACGCATGGCAGATAACTGACAGACATTTTTCCCTTTGAGACGGCTTGTGAGAATGTACTTAGTATTCAAATGACTACTGGCACCTCCTACGTTTAGTCTAGCTTAAAGATAGATGCTTGTACTTTGCAGTAAGGATATAACTTTTGCTACCTTTATGTTTTAGGTAATTGAGTGGCTATATGAGAAAAAAAATAACTTCTCATTGTGCATTTTCTATCTCTTTACATTAATGATGCTTTAAGCACGTAGAAAATAGCTGTACAGGATATGGACGTCTTAAAATTTTGGCTACACTTAGCTTTTCGGAAGTCGAAGAGAAAAAGAAAAAGGAAATACAGGCCAGAGATATTGAAGGTGGGAGAAGCAGGCTCCTTGAAGCATCGCTGGAAGGCGGTGACGACAGCGTTGAAGTTTGGCCCCGGGGATATGGAAGGTCACCTCATTAAGGGTAGTGTTCACTTGATATGATTTTAAGGAGAAATGTGTGCGTACACGTGTGTGATGGGGGACAGAGATAGACTGTCAGTGTGAATAGTTATTAGGGAGAAACAGAAAGATATATATACATATATATATAGAGAGAGATAGATGATGATGATGGAGGTGGGTATATGACCTATAATCAAAAGTTAAGAACGTTATCAAGACCTGGCCCGCCTGAATGGCCAAACTGGCTAGCCATAGTGAGATGGTGGGCGGGTGGTCTCGAGGGTGTGTACTTGTGAATATTTCACTATAATAACCAGTAATTTGGATGTCCTTCTAAGTGCTCATAAAGTGATTTCGAATTCTTGAGGTGGTGTGTGATTGACCAGGCCATATGTTCTCTCAAAGATGCGAGGTTCAAACCCAGCCGTAAATTGATACTTTATTTCCAGTTGATGTAAAATTATATTAATTATAAAATTAATTAATTACACCGACGACCTTTATGATAAATATCAAAAAATAAAAAGAAAGAAAACTAGACGAAAGTTAATTAGCATGTACATAAACGGAAAAAGTGGTCGATTAAGTGAGGCTAATTAATTAGTGAAAGAAAATCTGCTTGCCTTGAAAATCAGCATCAGACCAAAAATGGAGTCATGCCCTCTGGGCGCGAGCTGCCTAAACTTTACTTTCCGGACGTGACAGAGTTCAAAAGCATTTTCATAATTTTGTAAGCTAGAAATTGTGTTCCACCCTGCGACCCCTTTCCCACAGTCGAAACGTTGCTAGACTCTCCTTGTTATACTGCTATTTTCATGGCATATGTCCGGGCGAACGGCATTTCTTGATTCGACCGATTCCTAAATTCTCAGAGCTGACTCATCTCAATGCCCTTCATATCCGATTATTAAGATGAAAGACTCACTCACTCAGTTTCTTTCCCAGAATTATTACATTGTGAAACTGACTCCCGACAATATCCTTCCCATTCGATTACAATCTTAACCTCTTTAAATCGAGGGTCAACCGTTATCTATCTTACATATCATCATAATATGCTCTACTTGATCCCTACTTGTACAGCCTCATTTAGTAAACGTCTATACTGAGTGGCTCTTGAGCCTTATATTAAATTATAATAGTACGATATGGTGGAGTAATGGATAACGGTTCGGGTTGAGGAATCGGTGACCCAAGTTCGAATTCCAGTCGAATCCATTACTTTCACCGCTCCTCATTGGCGGACGCTAAAACCATCAATATTTTAAAAATCCTAAAACATTTATTGTCATCAGATGTCTATATTTACTGAGAAATTGTTTTAAGAATATGATTTATAAATTGCAGCTAATTTTAACATTACGATGGTGTAATCGATAGCGACTGGTCTATCGCAGAAAGAAATGGTAACCTACTTCTTCTCCCCCCCAGCTATAGGTAAATAGTAGGACCGACCGGGTTCTATAGCCTTGAATGGCAGCTAAAAGAAATAGCAACCTACTGCGGGAAAAAAATCTGCCTCGTCAGTCATGTCTCGAACGATACAAGATCCCCTAAGCGTGTATCACTTATAGATAACTGATTGAGTTCATCTCGTTCTGTTAGTGTCGTCTCGATGTATATGTTAAAGAAATCCAATGAGAAAACGCTTCCTAGTCTTACTTCTTTATTTATTTTGATTAATAGAAACAACAGTTAAAAGTAAGGAAATGGCTAATAATGCTATTAACATTATCCTTAATATGGCATATTTTTCACAAATATGTAAAAGCAAGTTTTGTTCGTTTCCTTAGGTAAAATCCAAATTTTTCAAATTCTTCGCCCATAAGTAAAATACATTTTTGAAAATTCTGAAACTTCAAGTATACAACGTGCAAAATTGTACTACTAACATGCAGCTAACTCTTGTTGGTAATTAGTAGTCATTTTAAATGAACTGCTCTTATTTTGTCGACGATTATACGATACAGGCATCGTTTATTTATTTATCTTTGTAATTCAGTTCTTGATTATTCTTGTTCGTTTTCCGGGATTACATTTATTCCTTCGAATTAAAACATTTTGCCCGGAGTTTAATGATTTGCATACCCCCCCCCAAAAAAACAAAAACAAATGAAGCCAATAAAATTGTTCAGAGGTTTCAAGTATCCGTGCCATTTGCGATGTCTTGCCGGACACGAGCTGATCGTGAGGAGACATTGCATCAGTCATTGTCAGGTCATGATAAGCAAAGACTGGGCAGCTGCACTATGGACGAATGTCAAGGTAGGATTAATGTCATGTTGATTGACAGAAGTTTGAGAAAGGAACAAAGAAATCCAACAAAAATGAAAAATATAGTTAAACAATTTGGATATAATTAATTTTATTAAATGTCGTCAAAGACACTGAAATGAATAGATAGATAGATAGATAGATAGATAGATAGATAGATAGATAGATAGATATAAACAAACTGAGATACATCGATATGAAAAAACTGAGATAGATAGATAGATAGATAGATAGATAGATAGATAGATAGATATGAACAAACTGAGACAGATATGAAAAATTGAAATACATATGAACAAACTGAGATAGATCGATAGATATGGACTAATTGAGATAGATATGAACAAACTGAGATAGATAGATAGATATATAGATATATAGATAGATAGATAGATATGAACAAATTGAGATAGACAGATATGAACAAACTGAGATAGAATGTAGATATGAACAAACTGAGATAGATAAATAGATAGATAGATAGATAGAGAGAGAGAGAGAGAGATGAACTGACCTTACAGATGAACACAACAATTTTACCTTCGCCAATAATGAATACTATAATATTTATCTGGCAATAAACATTACCCTGATGATGACATTGTGCTATGTCGAAAGTACTTAGAATAAAAGAAATATGTAACACAGCGATATTCTCTCGTCCTTCAATAACGACTCCAAAAGATTATGAATATGAAATGATCCAACTGAAAATAAGTAATCAGAACTTGTCTAAATTATTCAACGAAACATGTCTCAATATATATATATATATATATATATATATATATATATATATAGTGAGAGAGATAGAGAGAGAGGGGGAGGGAGAGGGAGAGAGAAAGATGGTTAGATAGATGGATATACAGAAAATGGGCAAATGGGAGTAGATAGGTTCGCCTATCATCCGGTTAACACTTCTTCTTGGTCTTTTGAATAGAAGATTTTTATTCCTGTTCCCTGTTCAGAATTGGGTTTCCGGTTCCTTTAAAAGCCTTTTCATTTTCTTTCACCATCAGTAACCACTTCCGTCTTAGCGGAATTATCGCTACGACTACTACAACAACTAAAATGGAGATCACATGTAAATCGAGGAAAGAACAATGATATAAGCATAGCCGATATTCCACACTACTTCAAACAGAAGTCAAGAGTGGAAACCGCCATTAATACTGGAATGATCATTAACAGTTACTGGACTTTAGGAATTTATCCCCTGAGAAAATGTTTTAGGTGAAAGATTTTATAAATTTCTAGCGACAGCAAGTCTAACGTTTCGGTGATTAAATGTCGAAAGTTTCCTTATGAGGAAAGGTCTAATATTACCATTACCATTATCACGGAACCCTATATTTCTATTAGATTAGGATATCTGGAATAAAACTCCTGCAACCGGACTTACCAGAAAATTCTAAAGTCGGGGCAACACCTATCGAAAAATAAAAGAAATTAGGACGTTTAGAGATTTCTGGTGCCAGCGAGACACTCATTATGGGAACAAGACAATCTTTGCTTTCACTCCGTGTTGATTCTTCGATATTAAAAAATTATTTATACTATAACCCTACCCATTTTGCAGGCATAGTTAATATCTAATATCTGTTCGCACAACGAAAAGTATATATATATATATATATATATATATATATATATATGAATATGAAATATAGTCTTAAGATGTGCTATATTTATGGGATAAAGTACTAATATCAGAGATGGGATAAATATATATATAATATCAGATATATATATATATGTGAAATATATAGAAAAATATATAGGAAGAACTGGTTAGGTAAATAATCCAAAGTCCCTTAGTATTTTAGTTATTATTTTAAAAAAAAGTAGAGCATAAATATAATTATTTATTTAAAAATATGATTCCAAATCGCGACATAAGAAGTCTCATGTTTCAAAACAAGAGCCGAAAACTTCAATATAATTATTTGAATTAAAATTGAGTTAAAATAATCTCTGTTCCATCTTCAAGCGAAAATTTTTTGGAAGATTCCAAATGTCGCGTTTGGAATCATATTTTTTTTAATTATATATATATATATATATATATATATATATATATATATATATATATATATATATATATATATATATATATATTTCGATTATAGGTGCAATTTATTTTAATTTATATTACATTGAAAAAACAAATATGCCGATTTAAAATGCATACATTGAAATTGTTTGCGAAGATGTATTCTCGCCATTTAAATCATTAACCTCTATATTTGTTTTTTGTATGAATGATTCATAATTATATATATATATATATATATATATATATATATATATATATATATATATATATATATAGAGAGAGAGAGAGAGAGATTCTTTTATGTTTATATGTTCTTTTATAGATACAAATATTTAAGTCAAAGCTCTGTTTATAATAAACAGTATTAACAACTTTACCGGCCTGAATATCCGAGAAATTTTCATAGAAAATATTTGTCTTCCGACAGGAATCAAATCTGGATCTTATCTGGAACCGTCATATAGCCTGACGTGCTTTTACAGATCGTAATTAATAATTGTCGGACTTTGTCTATTTCGCAATGTGTGACGTCATATATATATATATATATATATATATATATATATATATATATTCATTGACTGACAGACTGTTTTGCTGTACCAGAGCTCCTGATTGTGGCTAGACGTCCGATTGCTTCAAGCCGAGATCAAAACCCGACTGATTTGATAGTCAGACATCCTTTTTAACGTTTTTCTCTATACGAAATACGCCAGCGGCTCGGAGAACTCAATTCATACTTGAAGATTAAAACTTAATAGCAGTAGGATTCGCTGTTTTAAAACCCCCTCTCCTTAGAGAGCTCAACAGGATTTCTGGGAACATATATAGTCATCCACAGACAGACTATTCCTCAGTGTAGCTAGACGTCCGATTGGTTCAAGCCGGGATCGAATATATATATATATATATATATATATATATATATATAAAAGGATAATGGTCAGAGTTGAATCAGGTCAGGAATGAGTAGTATTAAAAAGTGAGAAAAAGTAACACGTGAGAAAAAAATAAAATAAAAGTAAAGAATAACATGGAGAGCTTTTAAACTTAAATAATTAAACAAACGGATGGCGTTGGGTGTAATAGAAAGGAAGGAGGAGGATGTGAAGAAGAAGAAGATAATAATAATAATAATAATAATAATAATAATAATAATAATAATATAAAAGTATCTGTGAGGGTTATTAATTGAAATGTACATTTTTTCTCCCCCCCCGCTGTGCTTAAGTGTTTAAGAGGAATTTCCTAATATGTAAGCAAGTACTCAATTTTCGAGTTTCTGGCTGAAAAGGTTCTTTATATATATATATATATATATATATATATATATATATATATATATAGAGAGAGAGAGAGAGAGAGAGAGAAGAAAGAGAGAGGGGTACCTTCACATATTTGCTAAAAATAAGCATACAAAATGAAAAATGTCCCAAACTTAAAAAAAGTTTTATCGTCAAAATCTTTATGCTTTATTATAAAAGAAGACCAAAGGATATTTGATTATTAAATTAAATTTTTTAATCTTTTGAAAACGTTCCAAATTTTACTTAAATTTTGTTTTTCTTGCGCCAGCAGGGTATTAGTCGATTAAAAGATTAGTAGAGAAAACTTTTGTTTGTTTGCGGGGAAAAAACACATTGATTTGGAATTTCTTGCAAAAAAAAAAAGAAAAAAAAAAAAGTAATTGTAGGATTTTAATGGAACTTTTAGGACTTATTTACAAATAAATTATTTCAGAAATGTTTCTTCTTTAGAAAATGTTCGGAAAAACATTACTTTACATTTTTTATCTCCCACCCATCTACTTAGAGAATTTAAATCATCAATTTTTTTTTTGAAAACTAAACTCCTATTTACCAAATATCTGCTTTGAATTGTAAAATAAAAAATGCAATAAAACTAATACATTATTTAATTAGAAAATTACTTTCATGAATAAAATATATTACGGATATTATTGTTTTAAGAAAAAAAAAATCAATGAATAATGAATTTTTACAAGAATATTTTTTCGTTTTTTCATATTTTAATTAGAATAATTTATAAAGTTTTAAATCTTTTAATATTTTATATTGATTTCTACCGGTGATATAATATGGTAATTAAGTAAAAAATATATTTATTAATCATAAATATAAAAGCTTACTATAATTCAGCGACCGCAATATTTTAAAAAAGAATTTTCATTTTTTTTTGTATTACTCTGCCGATTTTTTAAACACGGGCATCCATACACGTCATCAGAAAATAAGATATATATGAATAGATAGATAGAAAGATATTAAAGACATACATACATACATACATATACATATATACATATATATATATATATATATATATATATATATATATATATATATATATATATATATATCTTACTTGTGTGTGTGTGTGTTTTGAGTATGTGCGTGAGCGAACGAGCGTGTGTGTGTACTCGAGCGTCTTTGTGTGTGTTTTGTGCGTACATGTGTATGTTTGTAGATTGATAGATATGAAACTAGTAAATTTAAATGTCAATAAAATATTAGATTACGTCGAATAATTTCCAAAATTTTAAGATTACTGGGTAGTTAATAAATAATTTAAAAAAGGCGCTCACTTTATATTCCTCAATTAATTTCTAAAGATATCCCCCTCGTAGAAAAACAAACAAACAAACTATCAAGCTGTTAAGTCGACAACACCTAATCAAACACCTACAACTGTTTTAAAAAAATGCGTTCCTGCGAAATTTTAAATTAAAGTAAGTAATATTTGTTTCCATTCAGATTAATTAAACTTAAAACCAGCTAATATTCTTCAATTAAAGTTTCAGAAGAGTTGATTTTTCTCAAATATTTTTTTAATAGAGAAAATTACATTGTGTAGACCGATTGCTAAAATCGTTAAGATCAGCGATTTTTAGCAATAACTCCGCCAAAATAACATATTCCAGTCAATGTAAATAAGTTTTGAAAAAATATCTTGGTTATTAAGTTTAATCTACGTGCATCGTTTCTTTAGCGGTAAATATATATATATATATATATATATATATATATATATATATATATATATACGAAATGTAATGAGAACGAAAATAATATAATTTCTAAAGTTCACAGCATTAATTCAAAAGAGAGGTAAATGCGAAGAGTAGACCAATGATTATTTATTATAATTTTGTATTTCGACAAAATATATTCCTCACTACAAAGATGATTGTTTCGATGCGTGTGCATCTCGACTGGTCAGAACAATTTTTGGTTCTTCCCAGTCCAGATTCAGACGCATCGTATAAAATATGCATTTGTAATGAGTAAAATTGTTTTTGTCCCTATATAAAAATATATATATATATATATATATATATATATATATATATATATATATATATATATATATATTATCAATCTTTTATTAATAGTGGGTACTGTATTTGAAATAGACATTTCGTATTTTTTATTTTAAATAGCGTGTATTAAATCCAGCGGCGTACGCATTAGAGAAAACTTACTAAAGAAAATGTCCTCCCCATCAGAGAATTACCTAGATTTTCAACCACACCAAGACGGCAATTGTGGTTATATGTTTGCCAGAGATTTTTATTGGAATTTTACCTAATTATTATTATGGTCGGTTACATACCGAAAATGAGTTACCGTGCAGTGTGAATTTTCATGCTGACAATTTTTACTTGTGTATCTGTCTGTCTGTCTGTCTCTCTGTCTGTCTCTCTCTCAACATATATATATATATATATATATATATATATCCGTTCGACGTTCGATATCATCTGAGTGATGTCAAATCAGTCGAGTTCTGATACCGGCTTGAAGCATCAGTTGTCTAGCCATACTAAGGAGTTGTGATTCAGCTAAACAGTCTGTCTGTGGATGACGATATATATATATACATACATATATATATATATATATATATATATATATATATATATATATATATATATATATATATATATAAAGAAATATAGTCTTAAGGAGTGCTATATTTATGGGATAAAGTGCTCAATATCAGAGATAGATCGTGAATATAAACAACCAAACAAAACTGTTAAATACGTGATATAAACAAATTTTTACTACGTTAATAAATAAATAAATAAAATAAGAAACAAAAAAAAAAATAAAAAACGAGCAATATAACTTGACCCAAATAAATGAACAAAGCGACTTCCGGTAAAAATAACCGCCATAATAGAATACCCACAATGCACCACTAACCTGTATATATATAAATAGCCGAGAAAATAACAGCACACGTGGCCTGACGATTGCATATAGCATGAAACAGACTGTCGCCTCTAAGTGTTGACTTCTATGTTCACTTTTATATTTATATATATATATATATATATATAGTCATCCATCATATATATATATATATATATATATATATATATATATCCATCATATATATATATATATA